AGATAAACAATTAGTCTAACTTGGACCATCACAAGTTTTACAGCTTGCATCGCAAGTACATGACTTTGTGGCTTAATTATAATACAGTCCAGGACTGCAAGATAAGCAATTGTTTGGATTTGGACCATCACAAGTTTTACAGGTTGCATCACAAATACATTATTTTGTAGCTTAATTATAATACATTCCAGGATTGCAAGATAAGCAATTGTTTGAATTTGGACCATCACAAGTTTTACAGGTTGGATCACAAATACATGACTTTGTGGCTTAATTATAATACGTTCCAGGATTGCAAGATAAGCAATTGTTTGGATTTGGGCCATCACAAGTTTTACAGGTTGGATCACAAATACATGATTTTATAGCTTAATTATAATACAGTCCCAGATTGCAAGATAAGCAATTGTTTGGATTTGGGCCATCACAAGTTTTACAGGTTGGATCACAAATACATGATTTTGTAGCTTAATTATAATATAGTCCAGGATTGCAAGATAAGCAATTATTTGGATTTGGACCATCACAAGTTTTACAGGTTAGATCACAAATACATTAATTTGTGGCTTAATTATAATACAGTCCAGGACTGCAAGATAAGCAATTATTTGGATTTGGACCGCTACAAGTTTTACACGTTGGATTACAAATACATGATTTTATAGCTTAATTATAATATAGCCCAGGATTGCAAGATAAGCAATTGTTTGAATTTGGACCATCACAAGTTTTACAGGTTGGATCACAAATACATGAATTTGTGGCTTAATTATAATACAGTCCAGGATTGCAAGATAAACAATTGTTTGAATTTGGACCATAACAAGTTTTACAGATTTAATCACAAATCATACATGATTTTGTGGCTTAATTATAATATAGTCCAGGATTGCAAGATAAGCAATTATTTGAATTTGGACCATCACAAGTTTTACAGGTTGGATCACAAATACATGACTTTGTGGCTTAATTATAATACAGTCCAGGACTGCAAGATAAACAATTGTTTGAATTTGGACCATTACAAGTTTAACAGGCTGGATCACATGACTAGCAATAGTTGGATTAATTCATAAATTAATTATTAAGACATTAATTTATACACTAGTTTGTTTATTGCTAATAATAATAGCCAAAAAAACATTATTAGCATACTTAATTATTATCACACTATTTACAGTTTATTTGGCACTATATTATATAAAATAAATATTTTCAAGTGAGAATTCATTTTTAAAAATGAGAAGAAAAGTTTTTCATGATATAAAATTTGCTAATTATAATTTTAATTAGGGTTGTATCGAATAAAAATTTTGGCTAAATTTATTCAGCCGAAACCTAATATTAACAATTTATAACCATAAAAGTTAAAATTAAAAGTAAAACTTGATTTCTCCCTGAGGTTTTATTTAAATCATGGTATCTAATTAATTAATCATGATAAATAAAAAAAGGATAGAAATATGATTGATTGATGGATAATATTTAAGATTAAAATATAACTGGCATATAAAAGTTTGGCATTTATATAATTTAATAAAATGTAATATAACATTAAAAATTTCAAATTATTTGATCGTTTTTGGAGAAACCAGAGGGTTTGCTTAAGAGGATTTAATTTATTTAAGTAAATTTAATTTTTTTATTTTTTTTAATACTTTATTTAATTACAAAAATATGAATGATATTTATAAATATAAAATCAATAATAAAATCTATCTATCTATTTATATTTTAGGTTAAAAACACTTTTTCGAAATATTAAATAATAAAATATATAATATTATTCAAACATTTTATATTTATTCATCCTTTTTTCACCAGTTCTTTATCATTAGAAATGAAAGACAACTAATCTTTTTGATTTACGGCACTTTCTTATTTTTTTGAATAATTATGATTTTTCCATTGAGTTAGAACTTTTATAATAAATTTGTGTAAATTATTAATAAATATCAAAATAGAATAAACTTTTAAATTAAAAATTATTCTTTAAATTAATAAATAAATAAAATAAATAATATTAGTGGAATAAAAAAGATAAAAAATTTAAATAAATAAAAGCTATCAAATAAATTCAAAGAGCTTATT